TTGTGCACCTTGAATAATTTGCATTTGCTCGTTATCTTAGTTATCTAGGGCTGCTATAACAGAAATACCACAAGTGGGATGGCTTTAACAAACAGATTTATTCTCTCATGGTTTAGGAGACTAGAAGTCCAAATTCAGGGTGCTGGCTCCAGGGGAAGGCTTTCTCTCTCTGTCATCTTGGAGGGAAGATCCTTGTCATCAGTCTTCCCGTGGGTCTAGGAGTTTCTCAGCACAGAGACCTCAGTTCCAAAGGACACACTCTGTTCCTGGCTCTTCTTTCTTGGTGATGGGAGGTTCTTCTCTCTCTGTTCACTTCTTTTTCCTTTTGTCTCTTATAAGATAAAAGGTAATGCAGGCCACACCCCATGGAAACTCCCTTTACATTGGATCAGGGCTGTGGCCTGAGTAAGGATGTTGTGTCCCACCCTAATTCTCATTAGCATGATCTGATCTTGCCTCCTCATTAATATAATGGACAGCTCACTCCTAAGTGGGACCATAACCACAGCCATAGAGGCTAGGATTTACAATACATTACAAAACGGAGGATAATCAGATCACAAAATGCATAACCACACAATACTGAGAATCATGGCCTAGCCAAGTTGGCACATATTTTTGGGAGACACAATTGAATCCATGACAGTGGCGCTATATAATTCCTTTTATACATGTTGGATTTAATTTGCTAACGTTTTGTTGAAGATTTTTATACTTACATTCATGAGCAGTTTTCTTCTATGGTTTTCCTTACTTGTAATGTTGTCATCTGGTTTTGGTATTAGGGTAGCAAGAATGAGTTATGAAGTATTCCTCTGTTTCTGTATTTTGCTTATGTTTTCTGGAAAACACTGTAGAGAACTAGTATTACTTCCTTAAATTTTTATAGAATTCACCAGTGAAACCGTCTCAGCCTGGTACTTTCATTTTTGTAAGGTAGTTAATTATTGATTTAATTTCTTTACTAGATAAAAGTTTATTCAGGTTATCTATTTATCCTTGTGTGAGGTTTGGTAATTGTATCTCTCAAGGATTTGGTCTGTTTCATCCAAGTTTTCAAATTTGTGGGCATCGGGTTTATAATTTTTCTTTATTATCAATGGGATATGTGTCAGTGGGTTCAGTAGTGCTGATCCCTCTTTAGTTTCTGATATTCATAATCTATGTCTTCTCTTTTTTCTTGCTAAGTCTAGCTAGAAGTTTATCAATTTTATTGATCTTTTCAAAGAGCCAGTCTTGGTTTCATTGATTCTGTATTGTTTCAATTTCATTGATTAATGCTTAACCAGAAGTCCTGTGGCTCAACAGTTAAGTGCTCAGTTGCTAACCAAAAAGTTGGCAGTTTGAACTCACCCAGCAGCTCTGTGGGAGAAAGACCTGGTGGTCTGTTTTCGTTATGATTACAGCCAAGAAAACCTCTGGGGCAGTTCTACTCTGTCACATGGGGGTCATTATGAGTCAAAAATCAACTCAACAGCACCTAACAACAGCAACAATGCTTATGCTTAACCTTTTATTATTTCTTTTTTTTCTGTTCGCTTGAGTTTATATTGCTTTTCTTTCTCAGGTTTACTAAGGTGGAAGCTTATTGATTTTAGCTCTTTTTTCTTTACTAATATATGCATCGAATGCTATACATTTCTCTCTAAGCACTACTTTTGCCACATCCCACACAGTTTGAAGTCAAATTTTAATTTAGTTAAAACCATTTTTTAATTTCTCTAGAGACTTCTTTGACCCATGTGTTATTTAATAGTAGTTGCTTAATCTCCAGATATTTTGGGTTTTTCCAGCTGTCTTTCTGTTACTGATTTTTAGTTAGTTTTACTGTAGGCTGAGAGCTTACTTTGTGTGATTTATAGCCCTTTAAATTTGTCAGAGTGTGTTTTATGGCCCAGAATGTGGTCTGTCATGGTAAATTTTCCATGTAAGCTTGAAAAGAATGTGTATTCTGTTGTTGTTGGATAGAGAATTCTGTAAATGTCAATTAGATCCAGTTGGTGGGTAGGGTTGTTCAGTTCAACTATATCTTTAGTGATTTTCTGGCCCACTGAATTTGTCAGTTACTGATATAGGCGTAATAAATTTCCAACTGTAATGGTGGATTTGTCTATTTCTCCTTGCAGTTCTATCAATTTTTGCCTCACATACATATATGCTCTGTTCTTAGATGTAGACACATTCAGGACTTTTATGTCTTCTTCTGGAATTGATCCTTTTTTTTTATGTAATGTCCCTCTTTATCCCTGATCATTTTCCTTGTTCAGAAGTCAGCCTTGTCTGAAATTAATATGGGTATTCCAGTTTTATTTGATTAATGTTAGCATGGCCTATCTTTCTATATTCCCTTAATTTTAATCTATCTGTGCCTTTTTATTTAGAATGGGTTTCTTGTGGACATGTAGTTGGGTCATTTTTTTTTTTAAATCCAGACTGTCAGTCTCTTTTAATTGGTGTATTTGTACCATTCACATTTAAAATTATTATTGATATATTTGGTGTCATGGATTGAATTGTGTTCCCCAAAAATATGTGTATCAATTTGGCTAGGCCATGGTTCCCAGTATTGTGTGATTGTCTACCATTTTGTCATCCGATGTGATTTTACTATGTGTTGTAAATCCTACTTCTATGATGTTAATGAGGTGGGATAGGCAGCAGTTATCTTAATGAGGCAGGACTCAATCTACAAGATTGGATTGTGTCTTGAGCCAATCTCTTTTGAGACATAAAAGAGAGAAGCGAGCAGAAAGACGGGGGGACCTCATACCACCATGAAAGAAGAGCAGGAGTGCGTGTCCTTTGGACCCAGAGTCCCTACGCTGAGAACCTCCTAGTCCAAGGGAAGATTGATGCCAAGGACCTTTCTCCAGAGCCAACAGAGAGAGAAAGACTTCCCCTGGAGCTGATGCCCTAAATTTGGACTTGTAGCCTACTAGACTGTGAGAAAATAAGTTTCTCTTTGTTAAAGCCGTCCATTTGTGGTATTTCTGTTATAACAGCACTAGATGACTAAGACAGTTGGATTAATATCTACCATATTTGTCACTGTTTTTTATCGTTGCACTTGTTCTTTATTTTCTTTTTATCTGTCCCTCTTTTTTTTGCTGTCTCTGGTTTTAATTGAGCACTGTATATTATTCCATTTTCTTTCCTCTTTTAGCATTTCAGTTCTCCTTCATTTTAAAATTATTTTTGTGGTTACCCTAGAATTTGCAGTGTACATTTACATTGCATACAAGTCCATTTTGAAAGTTATGGAACCATTTGTTAAGAAGTATAAATGTTCTCCATTGAATTGCCTTGACACCTCTTTTGGAAATCAGTAGACACACACACACACATATATTTCTAGACTGTATATTCTGTTCCAGTAACTGAATCTGTTTTCTTTTGATAATACTGTATGTTCTTCATTACTGTTGCTTCACAGGTAGTTCTGAAATCAGGTAATGGGAGTTCTCCAGCTTTACTCTTCTTTTCAAATGTGTTTGGGATAGTCTAGGTCCTTTACTTTTCCATATAAATTTTATGATCTATCTCAACAAAGCTTCTTGGATTTTGATTGTGAATACTCTGTCTGTAGATCAATTTGGGATGAACTGATGTCTTGACCATATTGACTTTTCCAGTTCATGAGCACAAATCTCTCTCTTCTTTTATTTCGGTAATATTATGGGATTATGGCTGAGAAACGATAGTTCTGACTTTATCATTTTTGCAAAAATTAGATTGACAATATACACATTTGCAAATTGTGGTTAAACAGGCACTTGCATACTGCTAGCTCTACCTTCAAGATACAACCAAAAGCTGAGGTCTTCAAAGTTAACACCACTGCCAACACCCTTAACACCATGTCCATTTGCTGGGATTATGGAAGTAGTTTCTGAATTGTCACTGCTCCCACCATTGCCCCACTGTAGTCTGTCTTCAAACAGACGACAGTTATTATCTTGAACTAGAGGAATCATTTATGTTTGAAATGGTCTCTTCTCTTAATTTTTAACACTCTACTCTCTCCAGTTTTAATTCTCACCAGCTATAAAATTACTTCTTAGCTTTCATTGCCTATTTGTTTTCTGCCAGCCTCTTAAATATTGGTATGCCCTTGAATTTTGCACATGGTCATTTTCTTTCCTCAATGTATAGGTTCTTTTTGAGCCAGTGGATACTCTCAAGATTTTAGTTACTACCTTAATGGCTAATGTCTCCTAAATTTTTATCTTCATCCTAGACTTCCCTTGTGTGCTCACAGATAATTCCACCTATATGTTCCACGGCTAAGATTAAAACAAGATTGACTGCACGCTGATCCTCTGCCTAGCTCCATACTTCCAGTCTCAATTAATTAATGACATCAGCATCTATCTAACTGCTTGTGTACTTTTTCTGTGTAATTGCCCAGTAAATCAGTGATCAAATTTTGTTTCTTTCTCTTCTAAAATTAGTTCCCTATTCTTTATCCCTATTGCATTTCCTTAATATAGGTGTTCATCTCTTAATTTGTCTCTTCTTTTTAACTGCTTTTAAAACATTCTACACTTCTTAAGCATTGCTTCTGAAAGACAATCCTGGTTGTCTGTGATAACTCCAGGACTTATATCAATCTCTTTATTGGGACTATGAGAGAGGGTTGGTTGTGTGTACCCTAGGAAGTGTTCAGGGCAGTCCTTATCATATTAGGGTGTCTAGAAGATTACAGGAAGCTTATTTATAATAACTTTATCTAAAAAATGGTGGTAAGCTTTATCTGGTAGTATATTAACTGACAGTATATGTATATATTTTATAAGTACAAACAAATTAGGGTGTGAGAATAATATTTGTACTAATTGTATGATATTTCCAAGGTCTAAGAAAAACTTAGGGCTATAATACTCATCCTTTATAATATTTTGTTTTAAACTCTCAACAGTAGACATGCTGCGTTTCCAAAAGTATTTTCAGTGTCATCTGTTTCTGAACCTTTCAGATGGATCAAAAATGTGTTTTTACAGGCATTAGTGTCATTCAAGGATGTGACTGTGGAGTTCACCCAAGAGGAGTGGAAGCACATGAACCTTGCTCAGAGGACCCTGTACAGAGACGTGATGCTGGAGAACTACAGTCACCTTGTCTCAGTGGGTGAGCACACCTTACCGTGTAACTATAGAATGCAGTTTTCATTGTTTTCAACTTTTCAGTCTATGAGCACAAATCTCTGTCTTCCTTTATTTAGGTAATATTATGGGATTATGGCTGAGAAAGGATAGTTTTTCATCCTATGTGTCACTTCCTGTTGTCTTTCCATTGATGCTGGTTTCCTAGGACTGTCTGAACAAATTATCACAAACTGGTAGCTAAAAACAGCAGAAATTTATTCTCCCACAGTTCTGGAGACTACAAGTCCAAAATCCAAGGGTTGGCAAGGCCATGCTCCCTCTGAGGGTTCTATGGAAGAAGCCTGCCTTCTCTTTTCCTAGCTTCTGGTGGTTGCCAGCAATCCTTGGCGTTCCTTGGTTTGGTTTGTAGGTGCATCACTCCAGTTTCTGCCTCTGTTTTCATATGGCTCTGTGTGTTTTTCTTCATCTCCAAATAGTCCTCTTATAAAGATGTCATTTATTAGATTTAGGGCCTACCCATATGCAGTATGATCTCATCTTAACTTCATTACATCTCCTGATTTTCAAATAAGGTCACAGTCACAGATCTCAGATGTTAAGACTTGAGTATATCTTTTTAGGGGACACAGTTCTGCCCACTAAATTATTGATCGACTTTTCTCCTGTTGAGGGTCATATGTGCCTACTTTGCATACCAGGTAATTTTTGTTCGGATGCTGTGAATTTTACTTTGTAGGTTCATAGATGTGTTGAATTCTTTTAAATATTTTTGTACTTTTTCTGGAATGTAGTTAAGTTACTTGGATTAGTTTGCTCACTTCAAGGTTTACTTTTAAGCTTTATGATCTTGGATTCAGAGCACCTTTTAGTATAGGACTAATTTGGTCCCTCTACTAAGGCAGTGCCCATTATGTTATTCTACTGCATTCTCAGACTGTTAAGAGAGATTCCCACCTCTGTGTGCTTTTGGTGACTTTTCAGCCTACTCTTGTTGTTGTTGTGTGCTGTTGAGTCAATTCCGACTCATTGTGACCCTACGTGACAGAGTAGAACTGCCCCATATGGTTTCCTAGGCTATAATCTTTGTGGGAGAGTAGATTGCCAGGTCTTTTCTTCATGGAACCGCTGGTGTGTTTGAACTACTGATTTTTCTTTCGGTTACCAGCCAAGCACTTAACCATTGCACCATCAAGACTCTTCAGCGTATCCTATTCTGGTGCTTTTTCCACCAACCTTTGGTCGTTTCCTTACATTGTTGAACAAGTTAGTACTCTGTGGAAGATTCACGGAAACCTTTCTGCAAATCCCTGTGGCTCTGTCTTAGTACAGCCCTTTCTTCTTCAGTATTTTGTCCCACAAATTCTAGTTGCCTTGGACTTCCTAAACTCCTAGCTCTAGCTCCTTAACTTTTTGAGACTGTCAGGCTCTCCTTTGGCTTCCTCTTTCTGTGCTGTGGCCTGGAAACTCTCCAGGCTGTAAGCTGTGGCAGTCATAGGACTCATCTAATTTGTTTCTCTTTTCTTAGGAATCCCTGCTCTGCACTGCCTGTTGTTTAATTTTGTATGATTATCAGTTGGACATGGCAAGGTAAATTGGTCCCTGATACTTCATCATGGCCAAAAGTGTAAGTCCCTTGTAGTTCCTTTGGTAAAACCCAGTACACCTGGACCATTATTAAACTTTGATGTTAGGGTTGAGATTCAGGGAATAAGGAGATGTATTCCTTTTGTCACCTCACCCCAAAAAGGTCAAATTACCACATTTAATGTGCAGCAACTAAGTTATACCTTCCTTCCCATTCATAAGTATCGAAGCCCATCAGCTGATCCAAATGCTAAATCATTTCTTATTTACAGGGTATTGCTTTACAAAACCAGAAGTGATCTTCAAGCTGGAGCAAGCAAAAGATCCATGCTTATCAGAGGAAGACTTTCTAAACAGAAGCTACCAAGGTTAGTTATTTAATACTAACAGAAGGTATTCAGAAGAAATTGAATCTACAGTGATCAGTTAGAAGTGGGTGCTTTTAGAGCCTTTTTTATTTGGAAATTTATGAAGCATAGATTTAATAAAATACGGAAGATGAAGGTATAACATAGCTGATCAATGTAACCATGTTGATTTTCTCATCTTCAAAAGCTGGGGTCCCAAATAAATTATTTACAGCTCACAAATCAAGGAATAGTTACATTTAATAGTGAAATGCTAAAAAACAAAGAAAATTATGAAAGCAACTCAAAATGGGAGTTAAAGGATTGGAATGGAGAGAGAGAAAACAATGTTCTCATTGATTACCTACTATAGAATTACTGTTGTTAGGTGCCATTTAGTCCATTTTTGACCCATAGCAGTTAGATACTGTCTCAATAGATGATTAATGAAATATATGTTTATAATTACAAAGGTACCTAATAGAGCAAAAGTACAACCATCCTTATTATTAGAAGAAAAACTTACTTAACAGAACGACAAAATTAGAACTCTTGTAGGCTTAGCATAACTCAACATAAGATAAACATATCTGCTATATTAACTAATGTCAGTGCATTAGAATCACCAATAAAAGAAATTGCTATATATTGCACCAAAGAGATACACCTAAAAAATTATATGGAAAGTTTAATATATAAAATACAGGCAATCCCCCAGGTTACAAACGTATGACTGACATACAACCTGTAGTTACAAACTAACCCCCATAAAGCCTACTATATTAAAAATTCGAGGTACATACAATGGTTTATAATAACAAATGGGTACTACTTTGCGACATGCGTCAAAACATATTATTATCACTGTATTATGTTAAAGATGTTTTAGTGTACCTGGAAGTGTTTCTTTAATGTTTTTTATGCATAGAAAGGTATACTGTGTACTATATACTAAGACAAACATTTGACCAAGTGATGTTAGGTATGAACCGTACCTAACTGTTCCAACTTACGTACAAATTTGACTTAAAGACAGATTTAGGAACAGAACTCATTTGTAATCCAGGGACTGCCTGTAGTAAATTAATAAACCAGTAAGCACAGAAATAATGCAGGGATCTTTTATCTATTATTCAGGATTGAATTTAGGCAAAACATACACATTAGAAAAAATGTCTTAGTTTCCTGGGGCTACCATAACAAAATACCACAGTGGGTTGCTTTAAACAAAAAAATGTATTGCTTCAGAATTTTGTAGACTTGAAGTCTAAATCAGGGTATCGGCCATGTTAATTCTTTCTGAGGGCTCTGAGTGAGGAATGTTTCATACCTCTCTCCTAGTCTCTAGTGGCTGTCTGCAATCTTTGGCATTCCTTTCCTGCTTGTAGATGTATCTTCACCTGCTGCCCTCCCCTATGTGTGTGACTCTGTCTCCATGACTGATCTCTGCTTTTGTAAGACACCATTCAGTAAGGATTAGGACCCATCCTACTCCAGTATGACCTCTTTAACTTAACTGGTAATATCTCCAAAGAAAGATCCCATATCCAAACAAGGGTGACATTCACCAGCACAGAGTTTAGGATTTTAACATATTCTTTTGGGGGACACAATTAAATACATTACAGAGGTCATATCAATAATAATTGTAAAATAAAGACCATTTTTAAAGGACAGAATCAATTTTTTGACTATCTGTGCACCAACTAAACTTCATCAAGATCTATCAATCCACGATTGTAAATGCTTTAAGGATAAATAGAAACACTTAGATATAGTAGACCCTAATATATTTCTCTGGTTTTATACCAAATATAGTGGACAACAGCTGAGACTCTAGAACAAGGGTTGGCAAGCTATAGCCCTTGGGCCATCTGAACTGTTACATGTAGATTTTGGAGCTCAGCCATGCCAGTTCTCTTATATGTAGTCAATTGCTGCCTTCATACAACAGGGCTCACTAGTAATGTGGACTATGTAGCCTGCAGAGCTTAAAATATTTTTTATCTTGACATTACAAAGAATGTTTTTCGACCTCTACTTTACAATAATATTTTGCAACTGAGTATGTTTTTACCCACCAGAAGACTTTAAACGATAAAAATTATGTTCAGTTTCATATGTTGTTTTCAATTTCTAATTTTTAGAAGACTGCCAACTTGATGACTGGTTAGAGAAGAGCCTGGAAAACCAAGACAAACATCTTTGGCAAGTTTTATTAACCACCAATAAAATATTGACCACTGAGCAAGAGAAAATTTCAGGAAAACCATGTAAACAGAATGTAGATACATTTACTTCAAGAAAAATGCCCTGTAAGTGTGACATTACAGGGCCTGCTTACCAGAGTCTCATACCATTGTTTCCACATTGTAGTTCTTCAACAAAGAAAGATTATGAGTTTAATGCACATGAGAAATGTCTCACTGTTCGACATGAGAGAACAAATACTAGAGAGAAATCTTTAGCTTATAATCAAGATGTGAAAGTCCTCAGTCAGGAGGAGGCATGTGTTCAGCATCAGACAGTTCAGACTTTTGGGCAAACTTTTGTAAATAATGAAAATGGAAAAGCCTTCCATGAGAAGCCAGCCCTCATTACACCTAAGAGTGCCCAAATAAAACTAAAATCCTATACTTACAATAAATTTGGTGAAAACTTATGTGAGTCAACCCTTGTCTCTGATAGCATTCACACAGAAGAGAAGAGTAACTATGAATTTAATGAAAATAAATTTAACAAAAATGGGGATAATTTCATTAGGATCACCCAATTTCAGAGAAAAGATACAGGAAGCAAAATGTCCAGCAAAAAATCAGACCTCGGAGGACATCAAACAACTCATACAGGGATGAAACCACTTGAATGTGGTAAAAGCTTCAGTCATAACTCAGCCCTTGTGGTATGTCAGAAGACTCACACAGCAGAGAAATCCTGTATTTATAACAAATGTAGAGAAACCATTAACTTCCAGTCAGCCTTAAACATACATCAAAGAACTCATCCAAGGACAACACCCTATGAGTGCAAAGAATGTGGAATATCCTTCTCTAGGAAGTCAAACTTCATTTTCCATACAAAAACTCACACAGGGAAGAAACACTGTGAATGTAATGAATGTGGGAAAACTTTCAGGAAGAACTCAGCACTAAGGAACCATCAGAGAACTCACCTGGGGGAGAGACCCTTTGAATGCAATGAACATGGGAAAGCTTTCAAGCTGAAGTCATACCTAAGCAAATATCAGAGCACGCACACAGGTAAGAGGCCCTATAAATGTGATGAATGTGGGAAGTCTTTCAGCTGGAAGTCACGCTTCAGTGAACATCAGAAAACTCACACAGGGGTTAAACCCTATGAATGTAATGAATGTAGGAAAGGTTTCAGGTATAAGTCAGACCTAAGAAAACATGAGAGAACTCACACAGGTGAGAGACCTTATGCATGTGATGCATGTGGGAGATCTTTTAGTAGGAAATCAAACCTCACACTACATCAGAGAATGCACACAGGAGAGAAACCCTTTAAATGTAATGAATGTGGGAAAACTTACAGTGATAAATCAGCACTAAGGAAACATCAGAGAACTCACACAGGAGAGAAACCCTATAAATGTGATGAGTGTGGGAAAAGTTTCAGCCAGAACTCAATCCTCAGAAGTCATCAGAGAACACACACAGGGGAGAAACCCTATGAATGTCATGAATGTGGAAAAGGTTTTAGCCAGAGCTCAATCCTTAGAGGTCATCAGAGAACTCACACAGGGGAGAGACCTTATAAATGTGATGAATGTGGGAAATCTTTCACCTGCAAATCATATATCAGAATCCATCAGACAATTCACACAGGGGAGAAACCCTGTAAATGTAATGAATGTGGGAAAGGTTTCAGGAATAAGTCAGAGCTAACACAACATCAGAGATCTCACACAGGTGAGAGACCGTATATATGTGATGAATGTGGGAAATCTTTTCATTGGAAGTCAAACCTTACAGTACATCAGAGAACTCACACAGGAGAGAAACCTTTTGAATGTATTGAATGTGGGAAAACTTTTAGCAGGAAATCAAGAGCAATGAGACATCATAGAATTCACACAGGAGAGAAACCTTATGAATGTAATGAATGTGGGAGAGCTTTCAGAGAAAAGTCACACCTTAGAGGTCATCAGAAAACACACACACGGGAAAAACCATGTAAATGTGATAAATGTGGGAAAACTTTAACCTCTAAGTCAACCCTCAGAGTCCATCAGAGAATGCATGCAAAATAGAAACTCTAAGGTAGTAATGAAAAATTTCCACTGTCAGTCACACTTCAGATTATAAGCGTGAACACACACAGGAAAAACCCTATGAGTGTAATGAATGTGGGAAAGGTTTAACCTAGAAGTTACACGTCAGAAGTCATCAGAGAACTCCCACATGGGATAGACCCTATACATGTAATCAACGCGTGAAAGCTTTCAGCCAGAAGCCGCATCTGGGAGATCATCAGAGAACTTACACAGGTTATAAATGTGATGAATATAGGAAATACATAGCTGGAAGTCACCCCTCTTACTACATAAGAGAACACACACAGGAGAGAAACCCTTTGAATATAGTGAATGTGGGAAGATTTTCAGGCAAAGTCTGGGATAAGAAAAGATAACTCATAGTGAAAAACCCTATGAATATAATGAGTCTGGGAAGTTCCTCTTCAAGAAACCAACTTTCACTGCACATAAGCGAACACACAGGAGAAAAACCCTATGAGTGTAATGAATATGGGACAACATTCCACAGAAAGTCAAACCTCACTTTTTTACCTACCCAGGAAAGAAAGCTGATGAAGGTAATATAGGAAATAGTATAAATTCAACCCTCGGAAAACTTACATTTCACAGAAGCCCTCCAAAAGTAATACAGATGTGCAGACATTCTGCCAGAAATCACAGCTCATTGAACATCAGGGGAATCACACAGTAAAGAAAACCTAGAATGTAATGGTGATGATTGTTAACTGGAAGCCAGCTTTCTCAGTATAGCAGAAAACACAGAGGGTATTTACACACACAAAAGCAGTCTTAGGGAGACCAAGGATGTGGGACATCCTCCATACTTGAAGTCACCTTTCAACTTGACTTACACACTGGTAATTTCCATATGTCATGTATTGACTAATTTCATACCAATAACCATTTCCTCTTCTCCTTAAGCTCACACCTATTGTAAGTTTCCCAGCCACTATTTCTTTCAAGTGAGGTACATCACTAATTTATGGCTACTGGACCTTGGTGGTCAGTGTTGAGTCGTATGAAAGATGCCTCTTCAAATCTTCCATGTTCTATACTGTTCCTCTTCCAAATGGAATAGAAATTATTCACATGGAGACCTTGGGACTCATGAACAGAAGATAAACAAGGTCACATAATGGAAGAAGCCAGGGTCCAAGAGTGACAGAGGAACAGTTTCTCCCATGTACAGTGTTGCAGTTTTGGTGATAGGGACATAAGTTATTTTCTACTGAGATTTTTCAGGTTTGCCTCTACTGGTTACGTAGACATCCGTCAGTCGGTACAACCTATGAATATGGTTGTGTTTGAAGTCAGCACTCAGTGTATAACAGAAAAACCACACAGGAGAAAGTCCTGACCACATTCTCAATGATCATAATTTTTAATCCACAATTCATTATTAATGAGACGTTAATACCAGTGGAGAATCCAACATTTCAGCAGACACAGGGAAGTCTTTACCAAGAAATATCTCAGTAAATATCAGGTAGTTAAGAGGATTGATGTTCTGGATATGTGGAAGTTTTCAGCAAATTTTTTAAACTTTATCTCAGTGATTGAGGAAAATATATCCACTTGGAAAACGTATGTAGAAACCTTCAGAGATTGTTACGTCAGAGCTCTTATTTTATATGTAATGTCAAAACTTTTAATAACACTGCAGAATATTCATTGACATGTCGTGGGTGTAGAAAGCTTTTGAAAAACCAGGAATAAAGCGCAGTATAAGAACCAGAGCATTAAATGACATGAATATTCCCTGCACTTTGTAGTACTTGTCTGTATGTATGCATGCCATTTAACAGCTATCTGTTTGATATGTGATGGAGCCCACATCATCGTAGAAGGAATTATATGCTCTGTGCTTAGTAACTATTATGACATAAGCATAGTTTTGCCATATAACTCTTGAACAATAAACCATTTACAAGAAATGTTTGAAAAATTCAAAGTGCCATCCCTTATCACTTTTTTTCTGTTGTCTTCTGCATTTGTGTATATAGGAAAGGTCATTGTTACTGAATGGACTCTTTAGCAAAGAAGCCAAACTATTTTCTGTAAACTTTTGTATTGCTTCAGGGTCAGCAATGCATTTAGTTTTAACAGTATATAAAATATGCAAAGGTTGCAGTTATTATAAGAATGACCCTGATTAATTGTAAGAGCAGCTGTGAATAGTAGTGCTTAGTAAGAAAGTAGTCTATCTCTTCCATATTCTTTATATGCTTCAGTGAAGTGCCTGCATAGCTTGGTGTTGTGGATTGAATTGAATTTGTGTACCCCAAAAACATATGTTGAACTCCTAACATCTGGTACCTCTGAATGTGACCTTGCTTAAAAATAGGGTCTTCAAAGATGTTCTTTAAGTTAACGTGAGATCAAATTGGAGAGAGTAGGTCCTAATCCAGTATAAGTCATGTTCTTATAAAGGACAAGAGACACAGAGACAGAGGAAGGACAGCCATGTAAAGATGAATCTATAAACCATGGAATGCCAAAGGTAGCCATTCATCACCAGAAGATAGAGAGGCATGGAAGAGATTCTCAGAGCTGTCAGAAGGAATCAACATGGCTGACACCCTGTTGCCAGACTCCTAGCCTCCTGGACTGTGACACAAATTTCTGTTCCTATGAGCTACCCATTTTGTGGTACTGTTATGGCCATCCTAGGCAAATAATATAGTTGGATTGTGTAAATCCTAATTCTGTATAACCCATGCAGTATCTGCATTTGTGCTTTCTTATGTTAGAGTGTCATGTAGTGTCCTCTGCTCTTTTCTTGCAGGTGTTGGTGATATAACATAGTGATTGATAACATGTACTTGGAGCTAGACTCCCTGTGCTGAAATACCAGATCCCAGTGAGACATTGGATAGGACACTGAAACTCTGTACTTTAGTGTCCCCATCTGCAAAATTGGGATCATATCACCTACGTCATAAGATTACTATGGTGACTAGATTTATCTAATGCAAATGGAAGAATGCCTGTCACATGGCATGTACCATGTATGTGTTAGGTACTTTTTTTTTTTATTACCACCACCACCATCATTAATATTTCTGGAATTTACTTGGAAAAACTGGTAGATAGTGGTGTGTATTAAAAATATATATGCCAAAACATTTGTCATCAGTCTTTACATGTTTGTCTTCTGTTGTTCAGTTGTAGGAGTACTTTATATATTCTGGATTGTAAATACTTAGCACGTATATGGTTCCAAATTTTTTCTCCCAGTCTCTAGACTATCACTTCACTTTGTTGATAGTCTTTTTATGCACAAAAGTTTTTAATTTTGATGAAGTCCAATCTATCCATTTTATCTCTTGATACTCATGCTTTTGGTGTCATAGCTAAGAATCCATTTGTTAAAAACTAGGTCCTGAAGCATTACCCTGATGCAAAAACTAGGTCCTGAAGCATTAAGATTGGATTTAGCAAATTTGTTGAAAATCAGCTGGCCCTAGATGTATGGGTTTATTTCTGGACTCTCTGTTCTAACATTTTACCAGTACCAGGCGGTTTTCATTACTGTAGCATTATAGTATGTTTTGAAATCAGGAAGTGTAAGTCATCTTAGTTTGTTCTTCTCTTTCAAGATTGTTTTGGATATTTGAGGCACCTTGTTGTTCCATATAAATTTGAGGATTGGCTTTTACATTTCTGCAAAGAAGGCTGTTGGAGTTTTGACATGGATTGCATTGAAACTGTAGATTCCTCTGGGTAGTGTTAACATCTTAATGACATTAAGTCTTCCAATTTGTGAATGCAAAATGTCCTTCCATTTATTTTGTTTTTAAAATCTCCCTTAGTAATATTTTACAGTTTTTAGTGTACAAGTATTTCACCTTCCTGGTGAAATTTATTGCTTGATATTTTATTCTTTTAGATGCCATTGTAAATGGACTTATTTCCTTAATTTACTTTTCAGAATGCTCATCACTAATGTTTAGAATCCTGACTGATTTTTGTGTATTGACCTTGTATTCTGTCAGTGTGCTGAATTCATTTATTAGCGCTAATAGCTTTCTTGTGGAATCTCGGGAGTTTTCTGTGTATAGGTTCATGTCAAAGAGGAATACTTTTACTTCTTTCCTGCTTTGTTGTTGTTTTTAGTTGCTGTCACCATTCTCACAATTGTTGCTGTGTTTGAGCCCATTATTGCATCCACTGTCTCAATCCATCTCACTGAGGATCTCCCTCTTTTTCGCTGACCCTCTACCAAGCATGATGCCTTTCTCCAGCAATTGGTCCCTCCTGGTTAAATGTCCAAAGTAAGGGAGACAAAAATCTCACCATCCTCGCTTCCTGTTTTGGATACCTTTCTTTCTTTTTCTTAATTCATCTAACTTGGACTTCCATAACAATGTTTAGTAGCAGTGGTGAGAACAGGCAGTGTTGTTTTGTTCCTGTTCTTAAGGGGTAGGATCTTCATTGGGTTTTTCATAAATCATCTTTAGTATATTGAGGAATTCCCCTTCTATTCCTACCATGTTGAGTATTTTTATGATGAAAGGGCACTGGATTTTGTGAAATGCTTTTTTGCGTTAATTGAGATGATCATGTGGTTCTTTTCCTTTGTTCTTTTAATGTGGTGTATTACACTGATTTATTTTCTAATGTTGAATCCCTTATGTTCCTGGGATAAATCGCACTTGATCATGGTGTATAATCCTTTTGATATGCTTTTTAAAATTCAGTTTGCTAGTATTTTCTTGAAGGTTTTTCATCTATGTTCATAAGGGATATTGGCCTGCTGTTTTCTTGTGGTGTCTTTCTGGCTTTGCTATCAAGGTAATGCTGGCCTCATAGAATGAGTTTGAAAGTGTTCCTTCTATTATTTTGAAATGTTTAATGAGTATTGCAGTTACTTCGTCTGTAAATGTTTGATAGAATTCCCCACTGAAGCCATCTGGTCAAGGAGTTTTCTTTCTTGGAAGGTTTTGAATTAGTGATTTAATCACTTCACTTGATATGAGTGTATTGAGATTTTCTATTTCTTCTTGAGTAAGTTTAGGAAGTTTATGTATTTCTAGCAATTTGTCCATTTCCTGTAAGTTATCTAATTTATTAGTGCTACAGTCATTCATAGTATTCTCTTATGAGCCTTTTTATTTCTGTAGGGCCAGTTGTAATGTCTCTATTTTCTAATTTTAGATCTTTTCACTGTCTTTTTTTTTTTTTTTGGTCAGTTTTGCTAAAGGTTTGTCGATTTTATTGATCTCAAAAAACCAACCTATGGTTTCTTTGATTCTGTGTTTTTCTGTTTTCTGTTTCATTTGTCTGTTCTTACCTTTGTTATTTCCTTCCTTCTGGTAGCTTTGGACATGCTTTTCTCTTTTTGTAGTTCATTTAGTTGTAA